ATATATATATATATATATATATATATAGAATTTCTTGGAAAGATTTAAAAAATGACATTTTTAGAAGTGATAGTAGTTTAAAAAATGACTTAATTATTTTAATATTAAAGATTTTAATATAAAGAGTTTTGTTAAGAAAGAGTTTCATTATTTTAAAACACATTGTTCCTTTAAAAATTATTTTTTTTAGAGTTCTCTCACGGCTTTATAAAGGTTTTTCCTCTTTGCTCGTTATTTGAAGATTATAGATCATTAGAGTAATCTTTTAGGCAGACCCTCTACTTTCCTCCGACCAGTTTCTCAAATAGAGTAACTTGGTTTTCTCCTCCACTTTTTGGTTTGTTTTATTCTTCCTTTCCATGCGAACTTTATGTCGTTGCATGTGATATTTGAGTCTTTTATAAGATTCTCTGTTAATTAGTGGTCTTAATAGTGTGCAATGATCGTGTTTCTATGTTCATATTAAAAGGTTTTAATATAAATAGTTTTGTTATGAACGAGTTTCATTATCTTAAAACACATAATCTCTCTACAAACCATTTCTCTAGAGTTCTCTAAAAGTTCTCTAAAGGTTTTCCTTCTCTGCTTGTTGGTTTAATGATTAAAGACCACCGAAGTAATCTTTCAGGCAGGCTCTCCACTCCATTCGATCAGTTTCTCAGATATAGAAAGTTGGTTTTCTGCTCCACTTTTTGGTATGTTTTATTCTTCCTTTCCATGCGAGCCTTTTGTGGTTGCATGTGACGTATGGGTCTTCTATAAGAGTCTTTGTTGATTAGTGGTCCTAATGGTGTGCATTGATCGTGTTTTTATTGTTTGTAGAAGCATATACGAACAAGTCCCTAGTTTTCCTAAATCACATATTTGAATGTGCAAGTTCCTGATATGGCGTTAAGTGGTGCATGTGTAGTGTTAAATGTAAGCTAGTTTGTGGAAGTCTAGAAGCAATTTTTCTCTAGACCGTTGAGCGCCAACTTTTAGCGCTAAGTAACCATTTTGCGAATGATTTGGTGTTGAGTAGTGACAGGGTACCATTGAGCACCACTTTTCACCACAGGTTTGGAACCATTTTATGTCTAGTTCACTAAGTGATAAAGGAAATGTAAGAACAAGTAATTGTGAGATAATTCAATTTTCTAACTAGTCTTTTATATTTCTTGGGGTCTGACATAGACTCCCCTGTTTTGGTGGAAATTTAGTATTAGGATCCATGGGTGTGTCCACAAATTTTGAATTCATCAACCTAGTTTTGTCCAAAATATCCTATGCATATAACAATACATCGTTGGATTATGTCACCTCAATACCCAAGAAGTATCTAAGTTTGACAAGATCTTTGGTCTTAAAATGGTTGCAAAGATGTTGTTTCATCTAAGAGATACCATGATTGTCACTTCCCATAAGAACAATGTCATCAACATACACTATTAAGTAGACACATCCAACACACGAGTAACAATAAAAGGTTGAATGATCCGCTTCACACCGAGTCATACCAAATTGTTGAACAACGTTACTAAATTTTCCAAACTAGGCTCTAGGAGATTGTTTTAGGCCATATAAGAATTTGTGAAGACGACATACCAACCCAAAAGATTGTCCTGAGCAATAAATCCCGAAGGTTGCTCCATATAAACCTCTTCTTTCAAATCTCCATTAAGAAATACATTTTTTGTATCTAATTGATAAAGAGATCATTGTTGAAGAGTCACCATGATCATAAACAAACGAACATATGTCGTCTTTGTCACTGTAGAAAAAATATTACCATAATCCAACCCAAACATTGGTGTGTAACCTTTGGCCACAAGACGAGCTTTGAGGCGATCAATAGTTTCATCATGACCAACTTTGATAGGAAAAACTCACCTACAACCAACAACAGATTTTCCAAACGGTATTGGGACAAGCTCCCAAGTTCCACTATTTTGAAAAACACTTAGTTCGTCTAGCATGGTCTAACGCCAACCATGATGGACTAAGGCATCAGTAATAGATTTTTGATGGTCACAGAAGAAATAGATGAAAGGCATGTATAAAAAGGTGAAGACAATCTATTATAACTTAAAGCAATATAATGTGGAGAAGGACTACAAGAACGTATACCTTTTTTGGAGGGTATTTGGAAGGGTAGACTTAATTGCCAAAGCCAAAGGAGACAAGATAATTGGCTTTTGAATTGAGTCACTTAGTGGTTGTTGAGAAACACCTAGTGGACTAGGCACAATTGGAGGATCACAAATAATAGGAATATTGATAGTATTAGAAGGATACATATCAAAAGAAGAATAATCGTTAAAATAAAAGGAAGATTCATTGAAGGTGACATCTACAAATATAAAATAGGGATTAAGAGAAGGAGAAAAACACTTGTATCCTTTCTTTGATATAATAAAGCCTAAAAAAATACATTTGTGTGATCAATGAGCTAACTTATCAAGATCAGGACTAAAATTATGAACAAAACATATAGACCCAAAAACTTTTAAAGGTAATGGGTAAAGGGGTTCATGAGGAAATAAAATATAATGACGAATTTTATTATCTAAAACAGAAAAGGGCATGCGATTAATGAAATAACATGTAGTAAGAATAACATCATCCCAAAAATATTGAGGAATTTACCATGAATTAAAAGAGTGCAAGTTGTTTCAATAAGATGATTATTTTTACACTCAGCCACCCCATTTTGTTAAGCTGTATAAACACATAAAATTTGATAGAGAATACCATGAGAAGCTATAAATTGTTTAAAAGAATGGAAAAGATATTCACGACCATGATCACTGTATAAAGTTTGAATAGAAACATCAAACTGAGTTTTAATTTAATTATAAAAAGTTTGAAAAATATACAATAAATCAGAACGCTTTTTCATTAAAAATAGTCAAGTACATATAAAATAATCATCAATAATAATAAAAGATAAAGATAATATATCTAATAACCATTTTTAAACTAATTCCTTCTCTTATTTTGATTGCACCACTCTACTCTAAATAACATTTGAAACCTCTTATAAAATATACTTTAATTCGTGAGATAACTTCTTAAAAGTGTTCTTTTGTTTTGGTTGCAATCTCGGGAAACTCCTTCAAGTGGTAACTTCTCGTTGCACTTATCATTTATGATTCCATTTTAAAAGTTCATATTCCTTTCTTTAATCCACACCACGGTTTCATACTACTTATTTTTTGTTCAACTTTGTTTCTTAAAAGTCACACCATGGTTTGATGCTTTTGCTACATTTCTATGATCATCCATTGGTTATTGGTTTTTCTAACACCTCTTTAGTTGATTAAGATCCTCTTATCCTTCTAAGAATTACTTCAAATTTCAAGAAAGACAAACGAAGAAATTGTTTCACATGTTTGGATTTTAGAAATATTGTATCCGAATGTCCAAACAAAAGATTTTGATGTTACCAGACAATAGGAAGGTATGTTATAATATTATTCATTTTTGTTTTCAATGTTCCTGCCGTAATAATAAATATAAATTATATTTAATTGAAGAAAATTTATTATCGTTTTGACAACTACTTAAATATGTTCAAAATATTTTTAAAAAATTAAAAAAAAACTATTTTCTACTCGTATTATATTATGAAAAAGATGGAAAGTAAAATTATAAGAGACCAAAACTATCATTAAACTAAATTATTTTAAATGGTATTAAAAGATTGTTTCATTTATAAAGTTTTAGGTACGTGTCGATCCCTTATATAATTGACTCAAATATTATTAATGTTTGTGTAACTCACAGAAAACCTCCTCCTCGATAGAACTAACATCACTTTTCATGTTATATATTTTTAGAAATTAAGTGAATGAATAAAATAAAAAATAATCAATGTGGGATTGATAATGATATCACCAAATATATAAATTAAAAATAATCAAATGTGGACTTGTTTATAGTGTCTTGTTGACTAATAAACGTGAAATCAATCTTCGTATCATATACGTTTATTATTTTGTACAGTGATTTAATGACAACATAAAGAAATACTTAATATGATTATTTGATTACTATAACTACTTGGAGAAAGTCATATATTTTATAAAATATTAATTTTTTTTATTATAATCAAACCAGCATTTTTTCATTGTAATTAATCGTCTATTTAAATATTTACCAGTAATTTGAATATTTATTAATTTTACAATAAATAATTATATTTATTTTGACATTTTAGGAAAATAAAATGATGGTTAAATCTCCTCTGAATTTTGAAAAACACTGTATTGTGTCTTAATTCAAAACAAAATACTATTTTATGTTTCTTCTAAAACAAGAAAATAATAATAATAAGTATGGTTGATGACAGAGCAGAAGAGAGAGTCAAACCCATTGAATGAAAGTTGAAACCCTCACCCTTCAAAGAAAGTATAATGGAAGGTTAATTAATGCCTCAAACAAATTCTAAGTAACAAAATTTTCTAATTTTGAAATGAAAAACCATCATCATTATTCAGTGCAAAGCATCACATTCAAGGAAAAGAAAGAAAAAATCTTACAGAAAAACACAACTGTGTGAGATAATACTAAAACCAAGATGATTTAACAGAGGTAAGTTAAATCTAAATTCACTTTCTATAATATGTATATACTTGCATTGTAAGCTCATGATGTATTGAAATTATTTACTTTGTGCTGTTCTCATGCGAATTTCATGGTCACCAAACAGCAAGAGCGTGTTTAAGAGGAATGGACAGAAGAGAATCATAGGAAACTATGAAACGCATGACTTTTGGGAAACATGTTAGAGGATGTGCAAGCAAACAACATTTGTGTTGTCAATCTGGCTGTTTGGTGTTTGTTTTAAGGATATTAAATATTCTGAACCGTCCATTTATTATTTTTACTTTCCATTTTTTGTTTTTCCTTTTATGTTTTTCTGCCAACCGTTTCTATTGAAACTAGAGTGAGATAACTCTGCGTTTCTTGTGGTAAATGGAGTTGCAAATGATCCATGAACCAAGAATGTGATGCTGAGGAGCAATTTTGACCTCTGAGTCGTTTCGGACATCAAATATTGGTAATTCAAATTTGATTCATATCACTCTGATCGTCACTTTTTTGTTGATTTCATCCTTTGTGCACTGTTTCTGTTTTATCAATTTGCATAAATTCTTCTTTGGCCTTGTTCCTGGATTATTTCTTTTCAGAATGACGAGGAACATAATTTCATTCTCGTGTTGAGATTTAGAGGGAAAACAACAACAAAGAAAGTGTAACTTTCAATATCTGCATTTGGGCCATGGGTAAAGTTTGCTTCTTTCATCAGTGATAGAAATGATTTCGGGGATTTTTTGTATTTTTTACTCATTTATTTTCATGTCCCGCAAATTTAGGCTATCTATGTTTTTCTTGCTTCACGTTACAGGCATGGATTCTCTAAAACATTCTACTGATCATTCTGTCTGAGAACTTGGTATTCTATTTTTGTTATCTGTATTCAAATGTCGTACTCTGCACAGATTGCATTCTTGTTTATCTGAAACTTTTCAAAACCTCCCTTTTCTTCATATATTCATTTCTTCACTTTCAAACAAGATAAACAGTCAATGTAATTTGGCAGATTTATGCAAAAACAGAAATTCTTGCCCTGAAAACTGAATGTGATAGCCAATCCTTTGGCCCCTTGACTTGGATAATTACAGGTACGTGGTCATTGTCTTCTACAGTTTCTTTTCCCTTAAAATTAATCATAATTTTTTTGTAGAAATTAGTTTTAAAACAATTTTCATATATAAATTCATCCCTGCATTTTCCACCTGCCGTTTTAAAGGAATCCAAACTAGCGTAGGGTCAGTGTAAACAAAGTTATTTTCTTCAGTCCTCTCCTCTGTAATGGACTGCATTAATTCTTTGTATGTAATTGGCACCAACAGAGACAAGGTATAGAGCCTAAAAGTTATTATATTAGATCCATATTTAATTTCTCTTCATTATTCATATTTAATGTCCTTGGACTCGGATAAAACTAGAAAGCAGTAACTGGTTGTTTTATACCATATTATATATATTATTTTGTAATATAATGTTAATCTAATTACTTTTATTCAACCTCATCAGTTGTGTTTGCCCCAAATTTTCTGCGATTTCAAGGATAGTGAGAAAACTGGAAGTGCAATTGAAAACCTTTGTAGACTTGGACAGCATATTTCTGTTTGCGGTGTGAACTGTTGTTTTCTTATCAAATTCATCCTGCAAATCTCACTACCAGTTTTTCCAATGCAGTGACGTAGTGATAAGTTTGGCAAGATGAGAAGTTCAAGAGGTCGCAGCATGAAACATACACGTTTGTTTCATCGTGAAGATCAAAGAAGTCAAGAAGAAAAGAACATTGTGTGGGAGAGAGTGGAGGGTGATACTGATAAAAGTTTTAGGACAAGGGAGATTCCAGTGAAGAGGTTGTTGAATGTAGGGCATTTTACAAGTGCTTCAGGGGACTTGTCAAAGTTTAGCAAGGGAAAGAACTTTTCAGCAGGAATGAATGTCATGGACTATGATGTACCTGAACTGGTTGTTTTTATTCAAGAGGATAATGAACAGTTTGTGAAGGACACTTGCATTGGTAGGGGAGNTATTTTGTACAGTGATTTAATGACAACATAAAGAAATACTTAATATGATTATTTGATTACTATAACTACTTGGAGAAAGTCATATATTTTATAAAATATTAATTTTTTTTATTATAATCAAACCAGCATTTTTTCATTGTAATTAATCGTCTATTTAAATATTTACCAGTAATTTGAATATTTATTAATTTTACAATAAATAATTATATTTATTTTGACATTTTAGGAAAATAAAATGATGGTTAAATCTCCTCTGAATTTTGAAAAACACTGTATTGTGTCTTAATTCAAAACAAAATACTATTTTATGTTTCTTCTAAAACAAGAAAATAATAATAATAAGTATGGTTGATGACAGAGCAGAAGAGAGAGTCAAACCCATTGAATGAAAGTTGAAACCCTCACCCTTCAAAGAAAGTATAATGGAAGGTTAATTAATGCCTCAAACAAATTCTAAGTAACAAAATTTTCTAATTTTGAAATGAAAAACCATCATCATTATTCAGTGCAAAGCATCACATTCAAGGAAAAGAAAGAAAAAATCTTACAGAAAAACACAACTGTGTGAGATAATACTAAAACCAAGATGATTTAACAGAGGTAAGTTAAATCTAAATTCACTTTCTATAATATGTATATACTTGCATTGTAAGCTCATGATGTATTGAAATTATTTACTCTGTGCTGTTCTCATGCGAATTTCATGGTCACCAAACAGCAAGAGCGTGTTTAAGAGGAATGGACAGAAGAGAATCATAGGAAACTATGAAACGCATGACTTTTGGGAAACATGTTAGAGGATGTGCAAGCAAACAACATTTGTGTTGTCAATCTGGCTGTTTGGTGTTTGTTTTAAGGATATTAAATATTCTGAACCGTCCATTTATTATTTTTACTTTCCATTTTTTGTTTTTCCTTTTATGTTTTTCTGCCAACCGTTTCTATTGAAACTAGAGTGAGATAACTCTGCGTTTCTTGTGGTAAATGGAGTTGCAAATGATCCATGAACCAAGAATGTGATGCCGAGGAGCAATTTTGACCTCTGAGTCGTTTCGGACATCAAATATTGGTAATTCAAATTTGATTCATATCACTCTGATCGTCACTTTTTTGTTGATTTCATCCTTTGTGCACTGTTTCTGTTTTATCAATTTGCATAAATTCTTCTTTGGCCTTGTTCCTGGATTATTTCTTTTCAGAATGACGAGGAACATAATTTCATTCTCGTGTTGAGATTTAGAGGGAAAACAACAACAAAGAAAGTGTAACTTTCAATATCTGCATTTGGGCCATGGGTAAAGTTTGCTTCTTTCATCAGTGATAGAAATGATTTCGGGGATTTTTTGTATTTTTTACTCATTTATTTTCATGTCCCGCAAATTTAGGCTATCTATGTTTTTCTTGCTTCACGTTACAGGCATGGATTCTCTAAAACATTCTACTGATCATTCTGTCTGAGAACTTGGTATTCTATTTTTGTTATCTGTATTCAAATGTCGTACTCTGCACAGATTGCATTCTTGTTTATCAGAAACTTTTCAAAACCTCCCTTTTCTTCATATATTCATTTCATCACTTTCAAACAAGATAAACAGTCAATGTAATTTGGCAGATTTATGCAAAAACAGAAATTCTTGCCCTGAAAACTGAATGTGATAGCCAATCCTTTGGCCCCTTGACTTGGATAATTACAGGTACGTGGTCATTGTCTTCTACAGTTTCTTTTCCCTTAAAATTAATCATAATTTTTTTGTAGAAATTAGTTTTAAAACAATTTTCATATATAAATTCATCCCTGCATTTTCCACCTGCCGTTTTAAAGGAATCCAAACTAGCGTAGGGTCAGTGTAAACAAAGTTATTTTCTTCAGTCCTCTCCTCTGTAATGGACTGCATTAATTCTTTGTATGTAATTGGCACCAACAGAGACAAGGTATAGAGCCTAAAAGTTATTATATTAGATCCATATTTAATTTCTCTTCATTATTCATATTTAATGTCCTAGGACACGGATAAAACTAGAAAGCAGTAACTGGTTGTTTTATACCATATTATATATATTATTTTGTAATATAATGTTAATCTAATTACTTTTATTCAACCTCTCAGTTGTGTTTGCCCCAAATTTTCTGCGATTTCAAGGATAGTGAGAAAACTGGAAGTGCAATTGAAAACCTTTGTAGACTTGGACAGCATATTTCTGTTTGCGGTGTGAACTGTTGTTTTCTTATCAAATTCATCCTGCAAATCTCACTACCAGTTTTTCCAATGCAGTGACGTAGTGATAAGTTTGGCAAGATGAGAAGTTCAAGAGGTCGCAGCATGAAACATACACGTTTGTTTCATCGTGAAGATCAAAGAAGTCAAGAAGAAAAGAACATTGTGTGGGAGAGAGTGGAGGGTGATACTGATAAAAGTTTTAGGACAAGGGAGATTCCAGTGAAGAGGTTGTTGAATGTAGGGCATTTTACAAGTGCTTCAGGGGACTTGTCAAAGTTTAGCAAGGGAAAGAACTTTTCAGCAGGAATGAATGTCATGGACTATGATGTACCTGAACTGGTTGTTTTTATTCAAGAGGATAATGAACAGTTTGTGAAGGACACTTGCATTGGTAGGGGAGTGCCACCAGAAGGCAAGTGCCTCTCAGAAGATCATGATATGATGTCATGTCACTTTGACTCTGACATTAATAGAAGAAGAGATCCAAATCTAAGGACTATGGAAGCATTTTCAGACAATTTTAAAAGACTAGAATATGCTTCTAAACCTCTTTCCCTTAAGGAAGCAATGGAATTTTATGACTCCAGAGCTTTAGTGATTGATGTTGAAGGGGATTCAGGATACAAGATTTCAACTGATCACCCCAAAAAGAAGACAACACCAGAGACCCTTAGAGAGGTGAGACAATTTAATCTCACACTTGTACATTTTATCTCTTTGGACAAAGAATTAGTTTATTTTTAGAATATTCCTATAAACACTAGAATACTATAGAGTTGTGTCTTCTCTTTTAGCTTATTTGGTTGAACCACCAATATCAATGCACATGTTCTCTTTTGTTTCATATGCATGGCTGCATGATTGATAAAAGATTGAAACTAGTCTTACTACCCATATATAGCTCTTTCCATCTACACACTACGGAAGGCCATAAGAAACTAGTTGCAGCACCTGCACTTGCACTGATAGAAATTCGATAGGTTAGATTTATGAGTGCCTTTGTAGATTATAAGCAAATGCAAAACCAAGACAAAAACTCTAATTTGTTAGGGGAAAAAGGAGAGAACCGAATGAGAAAATCTCTTTTCTTTTCTCTGTTTTTATGTTATCTTGTACTTTGTTTTGATCTGGTCATTTACTACTTAACACTCAATATTTGGGTCTAAATAGAATGGTCACTTTGAAATTCGGGCGAATAATGAAAAGACCATGAAGAAAAATTGTATCATTCCAAAATTTGCATTGAACTTTTGTATCTTTAACAATCCGTAGGCAATAGCAACGGAAGCAGACTTTTCAAGATCTCTCAAGAATTGGCAAATAAATTCATTTTTGGGTACAGTTGGCAGAAGGGTGGAGTTTCCATGTTGTGCAGATTGTGTGCAAGTTGCTGACACAATCATGTGTAGGTCTGAGATGTGTAACTCAGAAAGTCCAACAGGTTCAGGAAAAAGACAAGACAATGATCCTCAAGAGACTTGTTTCTGTGCTGAGGGCCCTCTATCTGGCGGTCCAACATCATATGCTGCTCCTGCAACAACATCCAGCAATGCCTCTCATCACTCTAATGACAGCATAAGCAGCACACATTCATTTGCCTTTCCCATGTAAGTTTCTTACACTTTAAGTTCTGTCTCTCTTTGGCAATACAGAAGCTATCTATGGTCATAACTATTTAGGCATAATCATGTTTGATTTACAGCTTACCTGAAGAATGGAATGGAAGCCCGGTGAGAATGTTGGAAGTTGATAAAAGTCGATTAAGGAAGGACCTATGGCAGAAGATAGTGGTATTATTCTTCTGCTGCAAAAGTTGATTGCTAAAATTTTGCAGTTCGGCAGACACTAGCAGAGCGAGGTTTATGCAGAAAAGTTACTATACCTTGTTTAAGTCCATTGTGTTATAGGATCCATAATTGTGATGATATCAAATTATTTTGGTATCTATTTTAGTGGCTTGTTAGTTTAAACAGCCTGCATGTGTTTGTTTATATTTATATCTGTTGTTCTACACCTTCCTCTTTATATTTGTATATTACAAACAATTGTGAAAATTTCTCTCCATGATGTTATTTTTCTTATGTTGTTTGAATATAAGAAAATGATTAAAATAATAATAATAATTAATAGTTATTAATTTTTATCTTTCGATAATAATTTGTTGTTGATTAATATTTAAAATTACAAATTGCTTGCTTAAGATATAATTTAAGAAATGCCATTTATTTTTCTATTATCCTAATTAGTGTCTATATCTCTCTTCCCGTCTTAGGAAATGATGGTCACACATGTTCAAGATAACCAATTTGAGGAAGGAGTTTTTTTCACAATGTAAATAATTACCATCTATATCTTTCAATCAACTATCATCGAATAAGAAGACAAAAATAATAGAAAAGTTTGATCATGACCGGACCTCTACGGTTGAACCCATTCCATGAAGATTTTATTAGGTTTCTTAAATTTCCAGTGTATGAGCAATCTAATAATAAAATGATGTCCTTTTATTTATTTTTGTCTCATATGTAATTCTTGTATAATCAAGACTTTTTAAAAGATTTGTTGAAAGGATTCATTTGTATTTGTATGAAATGAATTAATTCATAATTAAATTGTGACATTTGAACTGTTATATTTTTAAGTGAAAAAAGTTTTATCTTAACAATAAGTTATAACTTCTAATATAGTGATTAATGTTTGATTTAATGATTGGTATCAAAACCAAAATCAAAGAGTTTAATTCTTGGGAGGACAATTTTTCAGGAGAGAAAAAG